TTTAAATATTCATAGAAATAGACATGTGTCTGATATTGAAAAATTCATACATTTATTTTTGTAAATGTCATTGTTAGAAGGTTTGCAGAAGAAATGGCTATAAAATTGTATACAGTGATTTAGAGAAGCTGACATATCGTTGTTGTTTTCACTTCATTTTTGGGTAAAGATAATAGTTTGACATAGACTTGTGGAGAAGAGCATTTTAGAATATTCTTTGAAACACAACAAAAGGGCTCTAATTAATATTATCAAGAATTCTATTTACACAGTTGTAAATTCACTGAAAAGGTTAGTAAGTCTCAGAAAAACCTGAGACGCCCAATATCAGTAGTAGTTCTAGGAATTAAGTTGATCCTGGAATACAAAAGTGAGTGAGGTTGTGGATCTAACAAGACTGCGTGAATATTTAAATTGTTTCGCTGTAAATGAAACACGCAACAGCCACAAACATAAATTTAAATAAAAAATCAAATGATAACGATATTCAATTACGACAAAAAAAAAAGGATATGTTTGGAACAACAAATATATATTTTTTATATGCATAATATTACAATTTTGTTTTGTAAAGATATGTGCGAAAGCTTATCCAGAGTATTTTAAAGAGAAAAGTTCTTGTTGCTTGTTTTGAAAATGTTTCGTGTGTTTGTAATGTAGTTTGGAAAATTTCGTACGTTTGTGCGTGTGTGAATGTTTTCAGCGTTCGACCGCAATGGGGTCGCAACACAGTTTCCTTTAAGGTTACATTTTCGTAGGCAAATAAAATCAACAAAGAAAAGAGAAAGAACAAATTTTTGTCTGATATTTATAATTAACGTAATCACGTGACAGGTTCCTGGAAAAGAAGCGGGAAAACTTGACTTGATCACGCGCTGGAAAAAGACTTGTACGTGGATGGATTGCAACGTCCACTTGTGTGTTTATTGACCAATCAGAAGTTGAGATTTCCTGAAAATATGTATGAAGCTGGGTAACCTCTTTGATCCACAGTTTGCACAGATTTGTACAAAAATTCAACATTGATAAGAAAGTGGTACCGGGATGCTAAAAGGTAACATTTATGTCGCTTTTAAATTCCTTAATATTTTCTTGACAGGTATTATTGTGTGTGCATTTTTGTTTCAAGTGTTCTTGTGGTGCACAGTGACAACACTCACTCAAGAACTGAATATTCGGACAAACGTGCTCATCTTGGTTGTTAAACTCATAATACTTTGGCTGTTATATTCTCTGACTTTCTCCAAGTGTCTCTCTGCGTGTCTCTCTTGGAATTTCGAATTGGGATAGATTGTTTTCGTCCCTCTTTCAATGCTCAGGAGATATTTTATATCAGTTAATAAATATTCACCAGTCTTATTACTCTTAGTGCCACTGTTTCCGCAACTGAACCTGAGCACGAAACTTCAGCAGAGACCCAGAGATTGAACTCATGACTGCATTGAAAACCGATAGCTTTCAACCAACGCTTTAATCCCATAAGTCATACGTCAATTCGACAAACTTGTGTTGAAATTATGGAGCCTTCAACATGTTATACACTGCTTCAAATTAGATCTCTTTTTGATTCATTCTACATGTCGGCTGGATGTCAACGCTAAGAAAACAAAACCAAAATTGAAAAGAAATATAAAATAACAACATCAAGTAAAAAATTATGAACAAAAGATGAGCTTTAGGAGCCTATACAATTTGCTTTTAAGAAAGCCGCCCATAAACGACGGGGACAGAATCATGACAAACGGGCCAGGCATCAACGCCCGGCAGGCTCTCGACGTCACTACGGGAACCTTGCTCAACCGACCAACACACATATCCACTTAAGACCTGCTCTCTTCCAGATCGCTACTTCATGCTCACATCCGCTCGCCTTCCTTACCCACATTACAGATAATCCGCTCGCATCCTCTGTATTGTCAATGCTCATAGGTATGAATTGTAATGAATCAGAATCGGGCATTTCATATTTTTGTGCTGTCACAAGGCCATCAATTTTAATTCTTCAACTGTTGGTCAGTCTATTTAATACAATGAAAGATAAATAGACCCTGATTTTTCCCCAGTCATGATGAACAACTCCACTCTCAATGAAGCTCCATGCTTTGAACATTCACTCCAGACTGCAAGTGGAGATCATATATAAAACCCATTGCTAAAGAAGATGAAAATTTGAGTTTGTAAATGGTTTATCTATTATTTATTATTCTAATAATCTGTTTATTTGTTTGTTGTTGTTGTTGTTTTAACTATTAAAATACTAGCATAGTACCCGTCATTTTTATGAGATCATTTATGTATGACTCGGCAGTTAGAGTTAAAGTATCTGTGCACTTTATCTCAGATCACAGTATTGCTCTTCGACCCTCTACCTTGAATCAGTGTAGTATCTGTGTGCTTCTAATTTTAATTTTACTCTGCTGTTCAAGCAGCAAAACATTTGCATAATGAATACGTGACTTTTTCTGCTTCTCTCCAGGTTGAACGTTCTAATCGGGACAGG